ATGCATGTATATATTTAAGAAAAATGTTATGTTTATATATTAAATATATTTATATATAATATAAAATATAAGAATCTAGATATATAAATGTATATGCATGTAAATATTTCCAAAATATATGCTGTATGTGAGTGTATCTATATTTACATAATAAATATACACAGTACACAAACACATATTATGTAAACAAAAAAAATTATTTTGGATGCAATTAATCACGATTAATCGTTTGACAGCACTAATATATATATGCATTAAATGCAAATAGCGATAGATGCCATTTACACTAAGTGCAAATAGCAATGGATTACACCAAGTGAAAATAGCATTATTTTTAGCGATATGCTATTTACACTAAGTGCAAATAGCCATAGATTTTATTTACACTATGTTAAAGGGGTCATATGATGCGATTTCAATTTTTCCTTTCTCTTTGGAGTGTTACAAGCTCTTGATGCATAAAGAAGATCTGTAAAGTTGCAAAGATTAAAGTCTCAAATCCAAAGAGATATTCTTTATAAAAGTTAAGAGTCAGCCACGCCTGCCTAAAACGTCTGGTTCTAACATGCCTCCAACATATCTACGTCACTATCTGGGAAGATTTGCATAACGCCGCCCAAATGTTCACGCAAAGAAAGAAGGCGTAACTTTTATTCTCACTGTAGTGTTGTTGCTGCCGCCGCCATGTCGTGAAGGCTCTGTGTGCTTCGTTGTGAAAGCGAAACTACTTTATTTGGCCATCCAAAAGAGGACGATATCTCTTCGTCATGCCTGGAGCTGATCCATGCTGGTCGCTGAGGAAATACTTCAACTTCGCGCTGTCGATCGCCAGATCGGCTTTCACCATGGACGAAGCGGAGTCCAGCCCGGGGTCGTCACATGTGGTTGCCGTACGCATCACAATATGGGAAGGGACTTAACATTTCCATCACACGCTGGAGGAATTCGGCCAATCACAACGCACTGGATAGCTGGCCAATCAGAGCACACCTCGCTTTTTCAGACTGATGAGCTTTGTAAAAATCGACGCGTTTCAGAAAGACGGGGCATAGAGGAGAAACAATAATGTACAGTATGTGGAAAAGAATGTGTTTTTTGAACCTTAAACCACATAAACACATTTAATTACACCAAATACACAAAATAATGTTATTTTTAGCAGCATCATATGACCCCTTTAAAATAGCAGGATTTTCTGCTATTTATACTACTTGTTGCAATTAGTGCCAATTATCTACACTTCAGTGTTGTAGTACATTACAAAACAGTATGCAATAACAACGTACTGAGTGTAAATTATCATTTTAATTCAAATTATTAAATGGATGCAATAAAGCCCTCGCTACACCTACCCTAACCCTACCCGATACTTTTTCTTGTGAATGCACCCCTCACACCCAGCCTAGTAAAACCCTATAGACATCCAAGTCCTCGTAACCTCTGAATGACCCCTGCACCAGACACACCGGTTAATGGCTGATTTGTGTTGCTCCTTTAAGCTTATACTGAGTGCACAAACTAACTCAACTACAAAAGGCATTTTAATGTGGTGAAGCTTTGAAAATGTGTTTCTTTTTTTTCTGACATCCAAAGGTCTTTTTGTTATGTTTTTCAGATCTCTGCAGATTGGGAGAGAGCTTCACTGAGGCCCAGCAGTCAGCCTAGCAGTGTTTTCAAACAGAGTCGTCAGGACGAGACCTACATCACAGAAGGAGGGTTCATCAACACTAATCTGGTGCAGGATGAGGAGTCACAGGAGTTTGATGACCTCATATTTGCCTTAAAAACTGGTAAGCCCCTTTCTTCCAAAAATGTACCTACAGTGGGTACGGAAAGTATTCAGACCCCCTTAAATGTTTCACTCTTTGTTATATTGCAGCCATTTGCTAAAATCATTTAAGTTAATTTTTTTTCCTCATTAATGTACACACAGCACTAAATCCCTACAGGTCTTTAGCAATTATAATAATACCTGAGAACTTTTTTTTGATGAATACTAGTTGTGTTTTTTTTTTTGGAAGTTCACAAAATTTGAGAATAATGTTTTACCTACAAACAGGTTCTGGCCTTAATGTGAGTGACAGCGAGTCAGTCCACGGCAGTCATGATGGAGGTAGTGTGGCTAACTCTCAAATCGTAGAGCTGCGGCGGATTCCTATCGCAGACACACATCTCTAACCTCACTATTTTTTGTACTGAAAGTTGTAAAATAAAAACAATACTGGCCAGACTGCCACTCAATCTACATGACATTTCCATTCAAAACAATACTAAAACCTTCACAAATTAATTTAGTGATAATTATATTCACATACAGTGCCGTGAAAAGGTTTTAGCCCCCTTCCTGTTTTTTTTTTTTTTTTTGCATGTCACACTTAAAAGATTCAGATCATCAAACAAATGTTAATATTACACAAAGTTAATCCGAGTAAATACAAAATGCAGTTTTGAAATAATGATTTCATTTAAGGGAAAGAAGCTGTCCAAACCTGCCTGGCCCTACGTGAAAAAGTAATTGCCCCCTTAATCTAGTAACTAGTTGTGCCACCCTTGGCAGCAACAACTGCAATCAAGCATTTGCGATAACTGGCAATGAGTCTTTCATATCGCTGTGGATGAATTTTGGCCCACTCTTCTTTGCAGAATTGTTTTAATTCAGCCACATTGGAGGGTTTTCGAGCATGAAAGGACTGTTTAAGGTCATGTCACATCATCTTAATCAGATTTAAGTCCGGACTTTGACTTGGCCACTCCAAAAACCTTAATTTTGTTTTTCTTCAGCCATTGAGAGGTGGTGTGTTTGGAATCATTGTCCTGCTGCATAACCCCAAGTGCACTTGAGCTTGAGGTCACAAACTGATGGCCGGACATTCTCCTTCAGGATTTTCTGATAGAGTGCAGAATTCATGGTTCCATCAATTATGGCAAGTCGTCCAGGTCCTGAAGCTGCAAAGCAGCCTCAGACCATCACACTACCACCACCATGTTTGACTGTTGGTATGATGTTCTTTTTATAAAATGCGGTGTTGGTTTTACTCCAGATGTAACGGGACACACAAGTCGTCCAGGTCCTGAAGCTGCAAAGCAGCCTCAGACCATCACACTACCACCACCATGTTGTTCTTTTTATAAAATGCGGTGTTGGTTTTACGCCAGATGTAACGGGACACACACCTTCCAAAAAGTTCAACTTTTGTCTCATCAGTCCACAGATTATTTGCCCAAATGTCTGGTTGATAATCAAGATATTTTTTTGGCAAATGTGAGACAAGCCTGTGTGTTATTTTTGGTCAGCAGTGGCTTTTGCCTTGGAACTCTCCCATGGATGCATTTTTTGCCCAGTCTCTTTCTTATTGTTGAATCATGAACACTGACCTAAATTGAGGCAAGTGAGGCCTGCAGTTCTTTAGATGTTGTTCTGGATTCTTTTATGACCTCCTGGATGAGTCGTCGTTGCACTCTTGGAGTAATTTTAAGGTTCTATTTGGTTCTATTTAAGTGATTTCTTGATTCAACAGGTCTGGCAGTAATCAGGCCTGGGTGTGGCTAGTGAAATTTAACTCAGCTTTCTAAAAGAATGTGGTTAATCACTGTTCTTTCATGATTTAACAGGAGGGGGCAATTCATTTTTCACGTAGGGCCAGGTAGGTTTGGACCGCTTTTTTCCCTTAATAAATGAAATCATCATTTAAAAACTGCATTTTGTATTTACTTGCATTATCTTTGTGTAATATTAAAATGTGTTTGATGATCTGAATCTTTTAAGTGTGACAAATATGCAAAAAACAAAAAAAAAACAGGAAGGGGGCTAAAACCTTTTCACGGCACTGTATGTGAATATAATTATCACTAAATTAATTTGTGAAGGTTTTAGTATTGTTTTGAATGGAAATGTCATGTAGATTGAGTGGCAGTCTGGCCAGTGAGCCCCATAATTCTGCTGCTTGGTTTGTGTAACACCAATAATAAATATTCAATATGTGTTTTTCTCTGACTGGATCTTTATCCCACAGATGTACTTCATAATGAACAATGAAAATATCTCCTGGCATTAAAATAATAGTAAATTTTCAGAACTGATTACGGTATGTAAACCAAAAAAACAAAGTCTGTGTGTGTGCACATACTGTATGAATATGGAGCTTAACAAACCAGTTCTGCATACTTTGACAGGTGAAACAGAAACTTGTATGTGTCTTTAGGACAACTAATAAAAATGATAATCTGTCAAACCAGGCATTCATAGCTCTTTTTTTGTTTGTTTGTTTTAATAAATAATGTGAATATATAAACAAATGTATTTGTTTAAATGAATTGAAAATGAATAATAAAAACAGTAATATTTAAATACATCTCCAAAATAACATTCCATGCTTTGTTTTCCTTTGTGTGTTTTTTTTTCTTCACAATTGAATTAACACTCAAGTAACACACATTCATGTCCCTGAATGAAGGGCTGACACCTTTTTTTGTGTGAAAAACAACCTGTTTCGATGGTGAATGGAAGCACATCAGCTGCACATTTGAACAGACCAGCAAATGTTTTATATTCAGTCACAGTGTGGTATACTGCAGAAAAAAATAGTCATTCTGACTGCTCAGTTTCATTTCCTTCAGCGAGTTTCTCACTGCCCTGAGGGGACAGGAGGAAAAACTGAATAGATGACCTACTGAATATATTGCTCTTACATTTCTGGAGAAAGTTCAGACATGTCGAAGACTTTAAAGTATGTGTGTGTGTGTGTGTGTGTGACTGAAATGGGCAGCGAGGGAAGCCACTGTGGACCAGAGATGTTTGCGGTCTGACCTTCTTGGATGATACAAGCATGGCACACCCAAGACTAAAGAGCTGCCATCAGCTACATGAACCCACAACTCTGTAAGAGCTAAAACAGCCACTACATCCTCCCATTAATTAAACCATAGTTTTTTGGGGAAAACGATTTTGCAATTCCTCCATCATCAGAAGCAGGCATAACGCACAACATATTATCGTTCTTTCTTTGCACCGTTTAATTGATTTTGACCTCTATCACACTCTCTAATGCAGTGGTTCCCAATCTTGGTCCTGGAGGCACCCCAACACTGCATGTTTTGCATGTCTCCTTAATCAAACACACCTGATTCAGATCATCAGCTCATTAGTAGAGACTCCAAGACCTGAATTTGGTGTGTCAGAGAAAGGAGACATGCAAAATGTGCAGTGTTGGAGTGCCTCCAGGGAACCACTGCTCTAATGGGTGACTATACAATTTCTTTTGCATCTTGTGCTTAATAAGAATAGCTAATGGTATCCCATCAGTACTTATTGGTGTTATTTCCTCTCCATCTCAAGCTATAATTTGTACCTGGAACACCTCAAGGCAAATCTGTATTTTCAGATGTATTTTGTAACTATGTGGACCACAAAACAATCAAGTGCAACAGCTGGATTCTGGAACTAAAATTTCTTCATAGGAGTATTGATTTTGGACTTAAAAACCTTTAAACACAGGTTTATTGTGAGCTAGATGGTTGTATATGGTTTTGTTGAAGCTAGAGTATCAGAGAATCACAAAAAGCAAATTGTGCCCAAAGAATACTTGCAAGAGTCAGTCTCTGTACTCCCTCAAAAAAATGGTATGTACTTTATTGCAAAAAACATAAAATATATAGTTTCTATATACTTGCAATCATATTTTTTAAATAAACAATTATATATGTATGTCATTTTTAAATTCGATTTTGTCATTTGTAATGTTTCTTGATGTACAGTATTCTTTTCGTTGTTATAGCCATTAAATTCAAGTCTTTTTGTCTGATTTTCTTTTATTCTTGTACTTTTTTGCATCGAAACCGATACGTTTGTAATGTTCTGATTCACCATGTAGCTGGTTGGTTTGGTTCATTGCTTTTAATGCTTTAACAAAGACTTTTTAAGAATCCCTATTGGAAAAATTAATGGGAAAAATACTTGCTGCTGAAAAAGTGCATGGGCACTGCTGCACTTTATACTTTTAAAAATACAGAGGACACAGACGAGAGAAGACTGGAAACTATTTTAATGATGCTTTTGTAGTACCGAAGTGAAAAGTATATTTATAATCATTTCTCTCGCCTCATCCTCTATCTTAGGTTTATTTTTTTCTCTGAGGTTGTCACAGTGCATTCTGGGATTTTTTTTCTCCACAAAAATATACGTGATGCTGGCATATAACTTGTCCAAAAGAAGCGATCTTAGAAAGCAGTGTAATTATGCTGCTTTTCTCCTGAAGCAGCATTTGTGTAGGAGTTTGTCTATGATGCTTTTAAAAATGTGGCCTACGTAGGAAGCACACAGAACAAATAAACAGCTCTTCCTGTTTCTTCCTCTCAAAGATGTCTGCCCTCTGTAAATCATGCAACCCCTTTATGGACCCATATCGTCCCTCCATCTCCCCCAGCTAAAGAAAACACATTCCCATTGCCCAGGCCTGCTGCAACACCCCCAAAACAAACAGATCATCTTTGAGGTCAAAGGGCTGTAACCTCTTAGATTATGCGCAGTCGGAGTCGGATCAGTTCAAGATGAGTGTACTCCAGTCAGCAGGGAGACGGATGAACTTCACCATATGGCCTGTTTTACCATCTGATTTACATCTGCTGTGACACAGTGTGAGTAGCTCGGCACAAGCATTAGTGTGCATTACTGGAATGTGGAGTGCACTTGAGGGAGCCATGGGCCAAAAGTAGCACCTGAGACTTTAGATGCTGTTTTCAAGTTCTTAACACTAAAATTGTCCCTCATATACTAGTTTTGGATTCATTTTGTATCAATAGGGATGATAGAGAAATGGTAGTTCACAAAACATGAAAATCATTTACTATCATGTTGATCCAAAACTGTAGTAAGGGCTGCTGAAAATTCAGCTTTGCCATCACCGGAATGAATTACATTTTAAAATCTATTAAAATAGATAACCGCTCCTTTAAATTATTACTCATTTTTCACAATATTAATGTTTTTACTGTATTTTTGATCAAATAAATGCAGCCTTGGTGAGCATAAGAGACTTCTTTTTATTTATTTTTAAATCTTAGTTATTCTTTTGAATCGCAGTGTAAAAAGTCAATAGGGAAAATAATATTGGACTCCAATTACATTCATTGTCTGGACAAAAACACTCTTCTGTCCTCCACTTGTGATTACTTTTACAGTG